GAGGTGATGGGAGTGTTATTGGGCAGTGGGTCCAGAGGTGACGCAAGAGTTCTTGGGCAGCGGGTCCAGAGATGATGGGAGTGTTATTGGGCAGTGGCTCCGGAGGTGATGGGAGAGTTCTTGGGCATTGGGTCCGGAGGTGATGGGAGTGTTACTGGGCAGTGGGTCCGGAGGTGATGGGAGTGTTATTGGGCAGTGGGTCCAGAGGTGACGGAAGAGTTCTCGGGCAGCGGGTCCAGAGATGATGGGAGTGTTATTGGGCAGTGGCTCCGGAGGTGATGGGAGAGTTCTTGAGCATTGGGTCCGGAGGTGATGGGAGAGTTCTTGGGCATTGGGTCCGGAGGTGATGGGAGAGTTCTTGGGCATTGGGTCCGGAGGTGTTGGGACTGTTACTGGGCAGTGGGTCCGGAGGTGACGGAAGAGTTCTTGGGCAGCGGGTCCAGAGATGATGGGAGTGTTATTGGGCAGTGGTTCCGGAGGTGATGGGAGAGTTCTTGGGCATTGGGTCCGGAGGTGTTGGGACTGTTACTGGGCAGTGGGTCCAGAGGTGACGGGAGTGTTATTGGGCAGTGGGTCCGGAGGTGATGGGAGACTTTTGGAAACAGATGGCATTGATGGTTGCACAACACTGTAAATATAATTAGCACCACTGAATTTTACACATAAAAATGGTTAAAATAGTTAAGTTTTATGTTATATATATTTTACCACAATTTTATATATATATATATATATATACACACACACCTAGATTTAATTGTATAAGAATTCTATGCTTTGGAAACCCTTCTGTGCTTTTAGAAAAAAAAAGAAAAATCTTATGGAAATTCTCATGTGTGCAAAAGTAGAGACTGGACAGTGCAGTCCGGGTCACCGCAGCTCCACTCAGGCCGTGGGCTGTCTTGCCTTTACCTCCTTGTGGCATTACTTTACAGTGATTCCACACATCTCATCGTTTCATCTATAAACGTATCTACAAAAGAGGGGCTGTTTAAAAGCATAACCACGATATCATTATCACCCTAAAAAGCCCCGCGATATTGCTTCATATCAATCCATGTTGAGATTTCTTCAGCTGGCTTACAAATGCCTGTTTACAGTTGTTTATTTGAATCAAGATTTTAGAATTGCATTTGGTCAACAGCTCTTAAATGTCTTTTGATACAACAGCCCCCCTCCTTCTTTCTGGCCACTGATTCACTGAAGGAAGGGCGTCACCGTCCGCGGCCTTCCCCACAGTCCGCATGTTGATCTCCACGGTGGCGTCCCTTCTTCTTGTTGTTAGGTCCGGTGTTCCTTGTGTTGCCCGTAAGCGGGTGGCCGAGGGGCTTGTTGAGATTCAGGTTTAATTCTCTGGCGAGAACTGTCTGCTTCACCCTCGGCAGGAGGCACAGGCGTCTCTCGGTGGCTTTCTCTCCGTGAGGTTAAGATCAGTCTGTGAGCTCGGGGGTCTGCCCGACGCAGCCGCTACAATTAAGGCCTTTTTGAAAAATACACAAAGATGGCTGCTTTTTAAAAAAATACAAGCAGGCTTCACACGGTGGTCAGACATTTTGAGAATTTTCTGGAAAGACTAAACTAAAATACATGTAAAACATATTCACTGTTTGGGAAAATGTCTGAATCCCCGCCCCCTTACCAGGTGTGACGTCCTTTGTGAGTCACCGACACGCGGGCTGTTTCCCCGGGGCACTCTACCTGCCTTTCCCTTTTCTCCCTTGTCCCTCTGATAGCAGCTTTCGTAGACGAGGCATGTCCAGGAATTCAGTACATTCCTGATCGTTTCTCGACTTTAGGAATTTGAGAGTGTTTTCTGTGGGAAAACTGGCAGAAGGCTAAAGCTGAGCAGACCCGACTCCTTGGTGACGTGCCCTGCCCAGGAAAGTCTCCCGAGCAGCCCAGCTACGGAGATGAAGTGAGCTCAACTGGACACTGGCTCTGCTGAAGTGGCGGCTCCCCGTCGCGACCCACAGCATCTCCTGCGGTCCGGAGCCCCACTCTGACTGGAACACAGTGGCGTGGCTCAAGTTGACGGGACTCCAGTAGGGACTTTGAAAGCATATTTTGTAAAAATATTTATCTAGAACAAAATATTTACCCATTAATGTCCTCTTAGACCATTTGGGGATGAAGACACCTTGACAACAATTAGTAATTTTTCAATTATCTGTCCGATTGCATCATGTTTTTTTAACATGATAACTTAAAAAATTAACATCCTTTGTAATTGGTTTAGTCTTGAAGGGTACATTGCTTTTTACGTATTTTATTTACACTTTAAATATGCCCACTTAGCAACTGGAACAAGTTAAATTGTTCTTACCTAGAAGTAGTTTGGCGATTTTATTTCATTTCAGTTATGTCACCCCCCCTTGTAAGAATTCCCAGGCATGTGGTACTGTACTGCAAAACGCAGTGCTATTTTAAACCTTTCGCTAGAAAATTTCCAGAGACTCCTTCTAAAGCTACTTTTGTCCATAAATGAAATATTGTCACAGTAGATTGCTTAAATGCCCACATTTTCATATTGAGAGTCATTACTTTATGTGTAATAAACTGTAGTGTTTGGAACTGAGTTTTTCAAATGAGTGGCTTTATTCATTACAGTCGACAATAGCAGTAGACTTTGGTGCCATACAGAGTCACCTTCAATAAATACTGTCAGTCAGAGACAGCTGTGAGTCTGTACACAAGACAGAGCAGGTGACTCAGGCTAGGTCTCTGGAGAGAAGGGGGTGTTAGGGTTTCTCGTTACACTGTATCTAGTCATCGAAGCTTTAAGATATCACTTTATTGGGATTTTATCATAGTCTTCACACAGTGCTATGTAAACAAGTTGCCGAGTATTTCTGACCTCGTGGAATTGTTCAGAAGTTCTTCTGTACACTGTACATCCCCCTGCAGTGCTGGGTCACCACCGTATCACACGGGGCCTGTGTTTGACGTATGATGTCACAGATGAATGGATAATTTGACAATAGCTGATAAAGGGTCCTTTCAGGGACCAGTGTCCAGGCAGCTGCCATGGATGATGCTGAGGGGACAGGCCAGGAGGGCTTTCCGGATGTAATGAGCTGGCCGCAAACCTCCCAGAGCACGTGGCTTCAACCGTCAGTCACAGGTCACCTCCTCACGCGTTTCATGAGCTTCTGGGGCCCGACTTCTCTGCGCCCCCTCCTAACACAGCTCCTTGGCAGGCTGAGGTGTCACAGACCCCGGGAGTTCCCTGAGCACCCACGGCGCCGGGAATGCCAGGATCGCCAGGAGGCCCGGGTTCACCGTGAGCGCCGTCCCGACCGTCTTTGCTAGCGCCAGGCACCCCTTGCAGCCCTAGAGACAGACCGTGGAGGGAGGTGAGTTTAGATGCAGCACCATCTCAAGGCCTAGTCCTCCTTCCCTCCTTTTCCCGTACTATTTCTTAACCCCGAGAAGAGGCCAAGGGTTGCATGCCCGGGCGTGAGGACAGCCAGGACGAGCACCGGGGAGGGGTGGTGCATGGCGCAGCCGGAGGCGAAGCAGGGCCGGGCCGGGTGGGGGGTGACCCTGTGCTGCAGCGCAGCCGACTTAGGAAGGTCTGACTGGCTGCTGGGTGAACAATGGATTTGGGGTCGGCAGGAGAGGAAGCCGGCAGACCCCGGGTGGGAGGCTGTTGGGGGCTTTGGTGACAGACAGTGGTGGCAACCGTGCAGGTGGGGGTGGGCTGCGCGTGCACCCAGTAGGGGGTTGCGAGGCCCTTACTGGGGTCAGTTTGCGAGGCTGGCAGCCACGGGACCCTCAACACAGAGGGCACCGAACGCCACGCTGAGGGACGCAATCACCCACGATGCCGCCCTGGCCTGGGGTGCTTGAGCCTTGGGGCTCGGGGAGGAAGTGCTGGGTCAGCAAAGGAGGCGACCGGAGCAACGCGGCCGGGCTGGGAGAGAGCGGTTCAGGGACAGCAAGGAGGCAGCGGGAAGAAGAGTGGGGGTGTGGAGACAGATGGGGGCCTCCCCACCCTCATGCTGTGTGCCTGCGACAGGAGGCCCGGACTCCAGAGGCTGTGTGTTTGGATGAGAATGATCCGGAACAAAGTCCCCAAGAAGGCACAGGGGACCTGACACGGGTGGCGAGGGGTGGCCTCTGCTAGGGACAGACACCTCCACCCTCCTTGACAAAGCATTGATGGTCAGCATTTTAAAAATGTAAATATCCAGCGTATGCGTGGGTCAGCGCAGAGAAGACTCAGAATTTAACTGAAATAGTCACTGAACAGCTTTCAGTGGAATTTAAATCTATTTCACTGAAATAGAAACAAGAGGATCTGTTTACTGATTAAACGTTTTAAACTTTTTTTAAAGTGGTTACTAAAGCGATTCCTAATCGTGCCTCCAAGAATCCTTTGCCAGAAGGAGAAAGGTGTCTTTATAAGAAAAGGAGACACAGCGATAAGGCAGACACTCCCCCGCGTGACGCTACGAAACCCTGGAAAGGATGCTGAGAAAACAGCCCTGGAGTGGCTGGCCTCATACCTTGCGGCCCTGGATCTCCCTCGGGCCCGGCCAGGCCGACGCCAGTGGCGCCCTTGTCCCCTCTGTCACCTTGGTCACCTGTCACAAGACATTGAGCACTTAGACGTTTCAGAATATCGGTTACCAAGTTTAAAGAAAGAGATTTCTGTGCAGCATCGTAAACCACGCCGCACCAGTGCTGACACCGCCTGTTGGAAAAGGTGGGCCCCCCCCTCTCCTAGAGCTTTGTACTGAAGCACTGAGACGCGAGAAGAGCTCACACCGCCAGCCTCGGGCTCCACGGCCGGGACACGTGCACCTAGCAGAGCCAGCGTAACCAGCCTCTGCCCTGACTGCTGGCGTGGGCATCCACTTTTGATGGGATTCTAGTTGTGTTCAAAATATTTATACTTGTGAAATAATGACTTTTGACCCAGGAGTCACTTAAAAAAAAAAAAAAACATTGCTGTGGAGTCGATTTCGACCCCAAGCGGGTGTTCTAAACGCCCCTCGAGTTGTATAGTTCGAATCGTGTGTCTCTGCTTATTTCCGCCCGTGCGATCCTTCACTACGGAGAGAGGTGCATTAAAGCCTCCCGTTACGCTGCCAGTCACCGGCCTTTGCTTTGTTCTGACAATCTGATGGTAGACACGAACAAGTCGCTCGAGAGTGACGTCCCGGCACCTTGAACCTCTGACAACCATGGAGACACTGCAGTGCAGGTAAAGGCGAGAGTCTCTGCCTGACGGCAGCCGTGCAGCCAGCTCCCCGCGCAGCCAGCCTGTGCCCCGTACCTTTTTCAGCCTTCCACTGTTACCTCCTAAAATCGACTAGCAGCGCCCTGGGGCTGTCACCAGTCCTCACGTGTCCATCAAACATGGACAGTGGGTGGGGAGTGGCGTCCATGACTGAAGAGCTGCGAGCTGGCCTCCCCAGTGGGCACTGAGCTGAATGGCGTCTGACGCCCACGTGAGGTTGACCTCAGTGACACAGGAGCCAGCTGGTTCAGACTCAGGCTGCTGACCTGGGGTGTCCTTGGTGAACATGGGGTGCTCCTGCCCGGTGCTGCTTTTCCATTTTCCCGGGGAGGGGAAGGAACACCCCGTGTAACTGGCTTTTGTGCGCTCCACCGCTTGTGTGAAACCCTCACTTTTCGCGGGAACCCTCTGGGCTCCACACGGTGCCAGCCTCCCACAGGGAGGAGCTGGGCGGAGCTGGCCGGCCCCTCTGCACAGGGGCTCATCTTCGGACAGAAAGCTCCTGAGGAGTACATGCGTCCGTCCGTCTGCGCCTTCTGTGGTGGCCTTGACTTTGTTTAATTAGCGTTGTCTTACTGTTTTATCTGGGAGAACCAGCATTATCTGGCATTTATGCTGTTCCTGAGTTTTCTTCTCAAAAGTCTTGAAGGAATTCACGTCCCTATGTAAAAAAATCTTATTTGGGCTTTTCTGGACCTCAGCAGCTCCTCATGTGGCTTTACACTAGCAGGGGAGGCCTGGAGAAGACCGTAAGCGGAAGTTTCTAAGGAAAGATGGAGCCATTGGTAGGTCGTTTGGGTGGATATCGCGTAGGGGTGGGGAGATGAATCTGGCATGTCTGCCCCCTAGTGGTGAGACTCTTCCATCTCTAAGTATTACGGAATGCTTTTCACCTGCTGAAGTACTGGACTTCAAAGATGAAGGAAGGAATTCGCAGAATTACAAGTTTCTTAGAATCTTTTTTTTGTTATTTTTCACAAGCAGGAAGTTAGATGGTCAGTAACTTAGAACTGATCACCGGGAGGCATGCCGCCTGGAGCCAAGCTTCCAGTCCTCGATCTGGGCCCTGCGGCTAGCTGGCTTGGTGGCGGCAAACTGCTTGTCTAAATTTTAAAGGCTGTTTTGGAAAATGTCAGTTTCCAAAAACTGACACAACTGTGTGTTATCCGTGCTTCCAGATGCCCCCCATTTATATGTGGGTGCCCCAAAGCGTTCCTAGTAATTGAGGGTCAGAAGCCGCACCGTGAAGTCTCACCTACCCTGTGGGCTCACCCATCACCATGCGCCCAGTGGTTCTCATCCTTTCTAATTAAGGTTTCCCTGGTTCTTTACAGCCCTTAACGTAGACTGCAGACGTTTTTGGATTTTACATTTTTGCCTTTTGCAGCAGACGTTTCGCACGCTGCCAGTTTTCTGCTGAGTAGAAACGGGACTCCCATTAATTCATTTCTCACATTTTTAAGTGGGTTCCTCCCCGAAACGCTGTTCTGATATTTGAGAAAACTGTCACATTACTTGAAAGTGTCCTGGTACCTGCCAGGTTAACGGGATTAACTGTGCCAGGCCCCGCACGCACAGGGGCGCAGCCTTCCAGGAGCTCTCGGGGAGGTGAGCCACCCGACACGCCTGAGCGGCTTCCACAGACAGCGGGACTTTTTGTGGCATTTCCTATGTAACAGCTACAGGGTGCTGGGTAAGCCGTGCAGACAGACTGGGGGGAGGCACCTTGGAGGCCTTAGGACCCTAACTTTCCCCCCGCTTTTCTTTCTTCCTGGGGTCTCCAGAGAACATCTGTCACGGGGAGGGGGAGGTCTGCGTAGTTTTCTGACGGGAGGGATGTCTGGGAGCCCCTGTGGTGCAGCAGAACACGGTGTTGCGGGGCTGACTCACTCACCTCGGGGTCCGGGGTCTCCCAGCTCTCCAGTGGGACCTCGATATCCAGGGGGCCCTCGAGCGCCGGGGTGGCCAATGGAGCCTGGGGGGCCTGGGGGGCCCGGGGGGCCAGCTGGACCGGGCCGCCCAATGGATCCCGGCACCAAAGGCTTCCTCAGGTGAGCGGCTAACTGTGCGATTTGTTCTTTGGGAAACAAGGATGCAAACATTTACCTCATGAGGATCGTCATGAACGGTTTTATGTAACGCATAAAAATACCCAGCCTGCCTTTCAGGAGGTTTTCATTTACTGATTGACAACGGTTTCGGCTGCCTTGGAGTGCACAACAAGTGTTTGGAGGTTTCTTCCGTGTTCCAGAGAATGAATCACAGGGCTAGAAAGGACATTCTCATTCTCTGGGAGCTGCTTACAGCCCTGTGAAGCTCGGGGGCAGAAGATGCCCCTCCCTCACAGATTCCCTGGGAACCGTGTGCAGAGCCACAAGGGCAGGCTTGTTCCCTGTGACTGTGTGAGCAACACTTGGAACAGCTGCTACATGCCAGGCACATGCGAACAAACCTTTGTCTAGAACAGTCGGCAGACTGGACGGGGCGAGGGAGTGCCACCAGGGCGGACTGGACGGGGCGAGGGGGTGCCACCAGGG